TCCGAGAGAGTGAGTGTATGACGGAGGGGGAGAGAAGATCTGGGCTAGGCTACTGAAAGATTTGTTTGGGTTTTGGTAATTGAGTGACAAGTTAGTATGTGTACTAATGTTTTCGTCGAGATAAATGATTAGGTTATTGGTCCATAAGTTAGTTTGAGCATACATGGAGCCATGAAAAGAGGTGGCAAGGACCATGGATGTGAAAAAGCTCAACATGTGATGAAGATGATGGAATTGAAATGAAGAGAAGGAGAAGGATGGAAGCAAAGACCCCAAGGCAATGGTATATGCAATGGGGTTTTGTTTTTGCTGGTCAATGGTGTGTGGAGAAGAGAATGATCAGGGTTATTATGATAGATAGATGTACTATAAATATGGGAATTCTTTGGCTAATACAATTGACTAAGTGCCACTAGGTGAGAACTAACAGTGCATATGTGTTACATCGAGTGACATGGTGAGGAAGCAAGAGAACAACCTTTAAAAATGCTAACTGAGGGCTAAAAGTGTTCGTCCTGTGGGACGCTTTTGCAAGTTAGCCAATTTCAAAAGGTTTGAGAAGTTCTCTCGATGGAGTGCTTTTGCACTAACTGAAACCCTCCGCTGGGTCACTGGAGAGGTGCTCCGGAGGTAGGGTTGCTGCTCAGCAGTTCTCTGTGTGCACCCACCTTATCTTCTGATGCTCATTGGAGTGGGAACACCGAAGATTACTATGGACACATGGCAGTGATCGGTGAAGTGAGCCAGCGCGAGAGATACTCAAAGGGCTCATCAGAGCTTTTTTGATGGGATAAAAACGGTACTACATAGGTTCTAACGAGCGCCATTGCCTGCCTTTCACCATTGCCACCATTGCGGAGACAAGCTCGCAGGCGTTAGGGTTCCAGATGTTATGGGGCTCCTTGGCTGGTGGCCTCAGATGGGGGAGGGGCCCAGTGGCAGCAGCCGGCCCGGCGGTGGTGGTGGGGGCGTCGCCGAACGGGCGGTGGGAGACAACCGGTTGGGAAGAGTATGTTGGCGGCGGGGGCCAAGGTCGCGTGTCGTCCTTCTCCTAATGAGATTAGTGGAGGGCGAGGTGGGCGGTGGGCGGGCGCGGCCGGTGTCGGGAGCACTGCTGACCGAGAGGTGGTGGGTGAGGAAGGCAGGGGCGGGGCATGCAGGGCCGAGGAAGATACAAGGTGGAAGCAAAGATGGCCGAGGAAGAAGAACAGTTCGTGGTAGCCGCACCCCTAGAGTGCGACCAGTCACACATTAACGCGCTCCTTAGCTATATAAGAAAAGAGAGCTAGCTGTAGAAGAAAAGCATCGTATGAACACCAGTAGCACAATAGTGGATGACTTGCCGGTAATCACACGTACACATGCATGTCCGTCCCAGCGGGGAGCGAGGCCATGCACAACAGGCAACAGCAGCCGCAGGTTCCATTACACGCCACACACACACACACACACACACACACATACAGCTCGAGCGCGGGCTCGCAGCACCGGTGCAGGCATGCGGTGATTAGTAGACGACGACACATGACTCCAAACAAACAAAAAAAGCAGCTGGCCCTGGTGCCTGGCTAGCTAGCCCTTGCAGCTAGCTAGACAATGACGGGGACCTTTTGGCGACAAGGCCATTGTTGTCGATATGATCAAGACGGGGACGCGCGCGGGGTTGAAGTCCGGGATAATAGGCGACCCCGGCGGGAGCACCTCCACGGCCAACTCTGGCCTGTCGTGGTTGATCCTTATCACCGTCGGCGTCGCTGGGTTGCCCACCAACTCTGGCAACGACGTCCTCTTCGGGTCAGCACCCGCCATTTCTATTGCTTGTTATATCTCTCAGAACCTGCACACCGTACCGTACTTGTAGATGCATCATCCATCATTGTGTCTCAATTTGTTGGGTCTATACACGTACGTGGGCTATATATGGCTCTATGCATGCTGGCCTGGTGTGCTGGAAAAGGGCATGACCAGGCAGGAATGCCGGCTGCCGCCCTTCGCCGGAGTAGATATGCTTTGGTTGTGTCACCGTAAACCCCTTGCCAGCTGCAAGCGGCGTACGTACGTCCTTGGGTTCATGCCTGTTGCTATGTACACCCAGCATCGATATCGTCGTCTGTGGCCGGTCTCTGTCAGTGTTCTCACAAGCATCATCGTCGTTAAAAAACTTGGTCTACAGTAGAATATATATTCAAAATTCAAAGGTCATGAGATAAACACTTGTCGTTTATTGCTTAATTAATTTCCTGCAGGACGGGGAAGGCTGATCCATTAGTTAATTAAGACTGTTAATGACCTATTCAACACTTTAGATGATACAAGCGTCAAATTAAACATAACCTACGCTCTTCTTAATATTTAGTTGTCGTACGTGTTAGTTGGCATCTATAAACCTAACAGCATGTTTGGCTTAGCCTATGGCCCCATGCGGGACGAGTTAGTTCCGATCTGCATGGGTTCATCGATCAGGTGAACACTACAACGACAGAAAAGCAAATTATTAATGGTTCAAGATGTACATTAGTGACAGGAAATAAAGCATCTCTAGATTTACATATGTGATGTGGACAATATTTGTGATGGGTCATTCACCGTCTCTGATATGTACACGATAGTGACGGTTACTAAGAAAAAATCCGTCTCTGGTATGTACACAAATACGACGGTAACAAAGGAAACTTGTCTCTGATATGTACATAATAACAACGGTTATTGAGAAAAAACCATCCTTGATATGCACACAAAGAGAAACTCGTCTCTGATATTTATGCAATAGCGATGGCAACTAACCCGTCTTTGATGTGTACACAACAGTGACAGCAACTAAGAAAGCCTGTCTCAGATATGTAAGCATCACAGACAGGGCTATTTAAAAGTATCATCTCTGAAGTGTTTAATCAGAGATGTTACGCATTTAAGGAGCCCATCTCAGAATAAAGATATCGTAGACGATTCATCTTTCGGTGTGTCTGCAATATCCTTGCGTCAGAGATGGGTATGTTTCTTGCGTGGCTCTAGACAAACAAAACAGAAACGCATTTCAACTAGACATGTTTCTATAAGTTATCTGTGACGCTGGCTGATTTACCGTCTCTGATGTATGCATCTCCGTTGTTCCTTTCTTCTAATGGTATACGTTAAGCATACATGGGATTTGAAGCTTGTATATATAATGACAAAATAAAGAGGTTAAACTAACAAGATCGATAAAAATAACAAAATTACCCAACTAAATTTGTTTAATGTGTGCTCACAGCTCCAGCTCTAAGGCTTATTGAGTCGTTGGAACAGGGGACTCCCAAACAAGCCCATTCCTACTTATGATTCAGACAGCAACGGGCTTTAATGAGCATGAGAAATAACTTATGATTCAGACAGCAACGCGCTTGCCTTGGCTTTAATTAGTCAGTACTTGTGATGTTAGTTTTCGAACGTTGGATGTTACAAAGGACATCCGGCTGTGTTGTCACTTGCCTGCAAACAAAATCCGAATAATTAAGCAAATGCCGCGACGGCAGATCGATCGGCCAGGGTGAAAATACCGAGGCTGCCCAATCCATGCACGTTCAAGTACATATGGTGACCCTATAAATCCACCACCAATATCGATGGGAGATGCATGCCTCTATCCAAAACTTCATTCCTAGCCCATTAGTAGAGGCTGGATCAGAGTGATCTCGCCTGAAGGAGGGAGGAAGGCAGAGAAAGATCGAGAATGAGCAGCGAGAAGACGTCGTGGCCGGAGGTGGTGGGGTGGCCGGCGGCGGCGGCGGTGACGCAGATCAACAGCGACAGGCCCGACGTGGCCATCGAGGTGGTCCAGGACGGTACCAACGTGGCGCCAGGGTACAACGCCTTCCGCGTCCGCGTCTACTTCGACGCCAGCAACGCCAGCGGCCCCGTCCTTTACACTCCCGTGGTTGGTTAGTTCGGACTTCGTCGGCGGTGGCTGCCGACGCCATATACGATATGATAGAAGCATGCAGCATGCAATTCGTGGTTTCTGTGTGTGTCTTCGATCGTGAGTTCTTCTCGTTCGTCTGAAAAGGAACTACGTACGGGATTTGGCGTTAATTGTGTGTCTTATAATAGCGTTGTTTATTATTTGTATACGTTGTCGTGTTCACAGCATGCATGTAGTGCAACATTTGCATGTATGCTAGTTGATTAATATAATATTGTTGTATGGATGCCTCGCTCTTTATGTACTCCCTCGTTTTTTATCTGCACGTCGTATTAGGTTTGTCATAAGTCAAACATTTTTATATCATCTTTGACTATTGATTTCCTAAAAATTATAAAGGTTTATGATATATTAGATTTATGGTTCATTATATATAATTCATACGTTGTATTTTTCAAAATGGGTTGTCAAACATATAGTAATGTTTGACTTAGGATAAACCTAATGTGACATAAAATAGAATGGAGGAATTAACTAACTACTCTCTTCGTTCCAAATTATAAGATGTTTTGACTTTTCTACATATATTGTTTTTGCTAAATACCTAGACATAGTATATAACTAAGTGCATATTGGTGTAAGCCTGCTGCCATGGCATGTTGACGTGGAGGGAAGCAGCAAAGGCGGGAGCGCAGACATTTGAATCCAAGTGCGGGAGCGCAGGAGTAGTTGCTGTGGAGCTTGGTGACCGCGCCCACGACGCGACGCGCTGTAGGCAGTTGCATTGACAACCCTTTGTATCTTGTTTTTTTTTCACTTTCTCTGTGCGTCACAGTGTGTTTTAGCTATTGGTATAACTAGCTGGGTGTTAGCAGAGCGCATTAGTGCATTGTAACTGAACCTATTGTGTTTGTACTGCTCACACATATCAGTGGAAAATAGCACTGTCCTCTGACAGTTGCAGTTCGCGTTCATCAGTGTTTCATGCGCGTTCTTGTTCTTAGGCTAGCCATTCGATCTATAGCGCTGTGATTGTGATTCCTGGTTCTAACATTTGGTATCGGAGCCTTAATCACGCGCTGATCATCACCTGATCCACGCCATGGGTGACCGGAGTGGTGGCGCAGGCGGCGGCGATGACCGGATCATGTATCCGTCGCTCACCGCGACCAACTACACTAGTTGGAGCATTCGCGTCCAGGCGATCATGGAGGACCAGGGGGTGTGGGAGATCATGGAGCCGTCGGGGGAGTCGTCGGAGCAGGGTGCGACGGCGGCAATGGCGGCGAAGGTGAAGGACAAGAAGGCTCGGGCGCACTTGCTTCAGTGCTTGCCTGATGATCTTCTGATGCAAGTCGCGGCAAAGAAGACTGGGAAGGAGGTCTAGGACTCGTTGAAGGCGAGGCTCATCGGCGAGGGGCGTGTCAGGGAGGCGCGATTGCAGACACTGAAGAGTGAATTCGACGCCATGAAGATGAAGGAGGAGGACACGGTCTATCAGTACGTCGGCGGTTCACGAGGATGTGTGGGGATATAAGACTACGCCTGGGCCACGCCACTAGTGGAGGCCTAGCCCACAAGGCCGCGTCGTACAAGGCATGATACCGGTCGGCGTGCCTCGCAAGACTACATGAAGATTTCCGATGATCTAGGAGACCTGTTTGGATACACTAGATCCTGTAATATCTATAACTTCCTATCTTGTAAGACCGATCAGGATAGAAACAACCGATCGGTAACCCTACCCCCGAGCTATATAAGGCGGGTAGGGACCCCCCCTTGTTTTTATCTGATCATACGCAATACAATTCAGAAAGACACAGGACGTAGGGTATTACGTCAAGCTGATGGCCCGAACCTGTTTAATCGCTGTCTCTTACGTTCTATTCCACTATCCGGTTCCTCGGTAGACTACCAGACGTATTTCATCGACAGTGGCGCGCCAAGTAGGGGGTGTGCGTGCTGAATTCATGGCAAACCATATGGTCATCTTCCCACGCTTCATGGCCTTCCTCGAGCCGGGCCAGATCTTCATGGTCGGATCCATGACATGGGTCATCGGCCCCGACGGCAACGGGGATATCATGGAGGCGGTGCAGGATCACCCTGCGACGATCGCGTCAACATCTGCAATGACATCTCCGATCCTAGCGCCCCACCGCTAGGTTAGGAGATCCATCAACAATGATGATTTGATCGCATCCGTCGATTGGGTCACAGACCGCTTAGCGGAATGTCAGCTCCTTGTGGATTCAATCTCAGATCAATATAGAGCGAGCAACAAATTTCCCGTACTCCAAGATCACCAAGCCAGTTTAACCGAGCGACCTGCTCGGCAACACTGTTCAAGGCGGCTAGACTCCAATCTGGTGATCATGGCCACTCCAAAGGGGCGCACGATGCGGCGCCGACCACTTCCCGCTACCGACCTACGTTTGGCTGACTACGAGGCCCCGATGGAGGATCTACCAAAGCCCAATCTTTTTGGGCTGGAGTGTGCGGGATCTGCATACCAGAACGCCATCCACCACCTCTTTGTCAACCACGTCGAGCGTGACCACGTCACCGACCTCTACATGATCAACCCGACTGACTCCGGGCAACCCGCACCTATGGTAAACATGGTGGTTGTCCACCAGCTTTCGGATGATCCTTCTCTCCCGACCGAATCTCTTGATAATGTTCTGAACGAGACCCAACAATTATTTCAAGGGCTCAACCCAGACCGTGCCAAGCTGCCCTGCTTTCCCTCTGGGGTTTAGGGGTGTGATTTTCCACGTCAACCACGATAGCGTCACCAAGGACGCCGAAACCGCTGAAGAGCGCGAGGCTCATCAAGCGAAGAACGCCGACCGCCAACATCGTCGAGATGCAGAAGAAGCCCAAGGGGCCCACGAGGATGGTCGTGGTTCGTCCCACCATCAACGCAATCTGGACGGGGCATTCGACATGGTGGGCGACCAGCCAGTCTACCAAACTCCAAGTGCTAATCTATCCATCGCGTTCAATGAGCTCGACAAACTCCCTCACACTCGAGAGGTCGAGAAGGTTTGAGCACATATCATAGCAGCGCAAGTCCAAGTCAACGAGTTCCAGAACGATGACCCGTCTTATTCCACCGCATCAGCTCTTAGCCACCGCTCCGATGCGTGGACGGAGGAGGCCAACATCATCGCGCCGAGGGCCCCGACCTCAGGCTGGATGTCCCTACCTCCATAGAGGATCCAGAGGCAACTATGAACCTCATTCACGCCACGATAGCCGCCCATCGCGCCCCCAGGGTGGTCGAGGCAGCAACCGCAACCAGGAGGTTAATCAACCCCTCTCTCGCGACCTTCGTGACCACATCAATGCTGGCACAGATGTCTGCAGCCGCATCAAAAATAGTAGGGCCACACACTACGACGTAGAGATGGAGCGTCGCCGACAATTCGACGCCGAACATGAGGGATTTGCTGCCCGTCAAGCTTGACTCCCCGCTGGTGCATCAGGACTTCGTCCCTTCATGGAAAGGCTCTGAACTGTCTGGTAGCCTGTGGGTTTCAAGGTCCTTGGTGTTAACATCTATGATGGAAAAGCCAACCCCGCTCAGTGGCTAACTCTATACGAGATCGCATGAGAGCTACAAGCGGAGATGAAGATGTCATGGCGAACTATCTACCCATCATGCTTAACCAGTCTGCGAATACTTGGCTCCTCAGCCTATGGGAGAACTCCATCTGATCTTGGGACAACCTCAAGAAAGCTTTCATGGACAATTATATGGCTACGTGCAAATAGCCCGGCACCAAGTTTGACCTAGAGAAGCTTCATCAGTTTCCCGAGGAGTCCCTGCGTGACTTTATCAGGCGTTTCTCGAAGATAAGAAACTCCATTCCTAACATCAATGAAGTCGAGGCCATCGCTGCCTTCACCAAAGGGCTCCGGCACGAGCAACTCCGTGGAAAGTTGTATCGCAAGAGGCCTACAACCATTGGCGAACTGATACAAACGGCAAACGGATATGCCGATGCCGAAGAAGCTAAACGGGTTGCCCGCTCTGCTCATCATCAACGCCACGACAATGATCGTCATGATGACAGGTGCTACGATGACCATGATCGTTGCCGTGATGACCAAGACCGCTGCGACAACCACGACCGTCGTCACGATGACCGGAATTCCTCCTGCTTCAGCTCTATCAATCCTTCAGGTATATGGTAAGATCTAAAATTCTCTCTAAGTTCCTGCCAGGTGATAGGAGGAGCATTAGTGGGACGTCCATACTCGAATGACTCCCACCAGTTTTAAGCTTCTCCCTAGAGTTGTCCTGACGCGTACAACACCTTCTACTGGTCGTCGCACTACGCTATGTTGAGTTGCTTTTCCACTGCACGAAGCCAATCATCTATTTCCAGTGGATCAGTGGCATGTGAAAACACCGAGGGGTGGCCCTTCAAGAATTCACCACGCTTGTCACGCGGTGCTCCACCAATTGGATGATTCTGCTAATTTTGCACCAGAGCTTGCATAAGCTGCGTCTACACTGCCAGAAGCTGCTCAATAGTCGGTGGCGGTGGTGGTGGTGGATGTGGGGGAACACCTCCACGACCTCGGCCTCTTTCTCTTCTATACATCTGACATCCAACACAAATATTCAAAATTTAGAGATTTCCAAGTCATAGACACTTATAGAGATATATAATACATTTTAAAAAATTTCTGGACGAGTTCCAACATCAGCAGCTCGGTAAAACAGTCATATCTGAAGTTCCAGATATCCAAAAGAGGCGTTCTTTACATGGTTTGAAAGATTAAGAAATTATATACAACTTTTATTCAGATCATATACCCAGATTCTATAGTTATGTTAAGCAAAAATAGGACACAACCGAAACTATTCCAGATTCTAGACTGTGCAGAAATTTCAACTTGAAACAGCTATATTTCGCAAAACCAGATTAGATATTGGGGTGGTTCTAGAGGCATTAGAAAGATACCTAAGTCTATTTATTTCCATAAAAATTTCATAATGTTTGGTCGAGTAGATTTAGATGGCCATTGAGATAAGGGCAGTCTGCTCCGAAAAATAGATCCGAGAGAACAAGATATACCAAACCCAACTATTTATTAATTGACTCAAACTTTAATATTCTTAACTATGAAACTTGCGGACATGCCCACAAAATTCCAGCACTCATTACAAAAATCCAAATCACATATAAACATAATAATAAATCAACTAGGCACACCAAAGTTCACACCACACTATTAGACTCGACTCAACTTGACCCGTGCTACTAACGTCTTTATTACATAAGGGACTCTAAACTCCTATGGTGACGAACTCTGGGTAGCTTCTCATAGATCTTAGGCATCTTGACCTGGGTCCTATACTCATCAAGCTGCCTTGCAACTTGTTTGCGAGCTTTCTTTTCCTTTTCCAATTCTTCCTTAAGCACATCATTCTTTTGGAGTATCTCCTTAGCAAAACGGACCATCGCCTTTGTAGTTGTATCAAGACCTTGAGGCTCCATCATCTCCCATCATTCTTTTTAGGGTCACAACAAGGAAGGAACCTAAATGGATCTTCCTTCATTTTCTCAAATCGTCGTGCATGATATATCATACAAGCTTCATAGGCTGCATCCTCCATACTTTCCTCCATAGTGGCACAACTCACAAGGTGAGTGTGACTGGTTTCCACCCTACGAGCCTTCCTAGCTTCATCCCAACCAGTGACAAACAAGTCTGTCTTCTAGTATGTAGCTTCATGGGGGTGCCGGTACTTAGTGCAACGATATTGCACAGCGGGACACAAGTCAGAGTAGTAGCATACAAGTACTGTCATGAGTAGGGAATGGAAGTAGACCATGTCATCCCCATGCTTGAAATAGAACTCCTTGGTCCACCCCACACCTAGGGGATGATTTCCTTTGTTGAAGCATGGTCCTCTATAGCTAATGCAGGCGGTCTTGTTGGAATGAGGCATCTCTGAATTAGATTTAGTTAGAATAGAAGCAAAATTTTCATAACAGAGTGAGGCAAAAGAAGCATAAAATTTAGCAAATAACAAGAGTGAGATGGGAAGCATGAAATGAGTAAAGCAAAAGAGGCTAGAACGACCATTGCTAACTAGGCTTATGATCCCTACTGATCAACACGACTCGATATCAATTTATCACACTCGATTTTAAGGATAAAATGGGATGTATAATCTTATATGCGCCTGGAGATCAGTCACACACATAAGCCGACAAATTATAGATAGTATCATCGTAAGTATTTATTACATCATGTATAATAAGACAGAGTCTTTCACATAAATATAGCAGAAGTATAAAGAAAAATCTCTCACGGAAGCTCCATATCACAGGGACGTCAACTGGTTGACCACAGTCTAGTAAT